GCAAACTTTAAACGGGCCTGTACATGTGCCTTCTTGAGCAGTGGGACCTTGTGGGCGCTGCAGGATTTCAGTCCATTGCGGCATAGCGTGTTACCAATGTTTTGCTTGGTGACTGTGGTCCCAACTGCCGTAAGTTCATTAACAAGCTCCTCCCGTCTAGTTTGGGGCTGATCCCTCACCTTTCTCATGATCATCCTTAACCCATTAGGCAAGATCCTGCACGGAGCTCCAGACCGAGGCCAATTGATTGTTGTTTTGTATTACTTCCATTTCTGAATATTCGCACCAACTGTTGTCTCCTTCTCACCAAGCTTCTTGCTGATGGTCTTGTAGCCCATTCCAGCCTTGTGCAGATCTACAATCTTGTCTCTGACATCCTTTGACAGCTCTTTGGTCTTGCCCATGGTGGTGGGAGAGGTTGGAATGGAAGATACAGATTGTGTGGACAGGTGTCTTATATACCTAACAAGCTGACATTAGGAGTAACTTCTTAAAGTGACAGGACTAATCTGTGTTCCACATGGGCACATAACCAATCTGTGGGAGCCAGAATTCTTGCTGGTTGGTAGGGGATCAAATACTTATTTCACTCACTGAAATGCAAATCAATTTCTAACCTTTATATAATATGTTTTTTCTGGATTTTTTTAGGTTGATATTCTGTCTCTATACGTTAAAATAAACCTACCATAAAAATTACAGACCCTTCATTTCTTTGCAAGTGGGCAAACTTACAAAATCAGCAGGGGATCAAATAAATATTTTCCCCACTGTGCAATGATTTCAAAGGTATCCTAAAAGTAGTTTATATTACTATAATTCAAGTTTCCTGAAATAATCATAGCTTTGTATGAGGAACAAATGGAAATTTAGGCCATAATTCACTGCTAATACTCCCCTTCACAGCAGCTCATGTTATATTATTTTCAAATTTGGCAAGAAAAGAGAAATTGTTCCAGCTGGGGATGAAGTTTCAATATATGAAAGTGCATACGAGTTTTAAGAACTACAGCAGAGAGGAAGATTTGTCAATGAATCCAAATTAGCTGTTTAAAACTAGTGTAATAATAATAACCTGCTTCTCTAACAATTTTAACCCTTTCACACATAAGTTTACTCTAGCTGGGCACCCAGCATGAGTTTTCCTAGGCATCCATTATTTTAGAATGCATCATCTTCTTATTTCCATGGCGACGCGTCATGCTTGTTACGTGACACACTGCAGCAACAACAGCTCTGCATGAGTCATTTATTGCATTTATTTCATTTTTATTCAAAATATTCACAAACGTGTTAACTATATTGTGAAATATCTGATATTCCGATTCTCAAATATGTGTAAGTAAACATATTTGGTGGTTTAAAAAGCTTTATAATGATCCTGTTGATCTATAACGGCTGATGGGCGTTGCCAAGTTAGTTCGCGCTGCAATTCAGAGAATCTGAGCTGTCTGATTTACAACACCTAAATGCACCCTCTCACAATGTGTATCTTACATGAATAAAACATGTCGTCAAATTACTGGTATTTTTGAAAGGATCATTATTACCACTTCCATAGACTTCAGACTATATTTTACAAACTATAAATGTATTGTTTTTACTAGTACTTATGTGTGTTTAAATGTCTTAAACCTAAAATAAATATTATGTGGTTAAAAACACTGAATAGTTATGATAATATGGCAAGTGCTGAGCTCAGCGCCAGCCAAAGCGCAAAAGCAGATTTGATTTGAGCAGCTGATCATGTGATGCACTGAATGTTCTAATCACTCCGGTGTGCTCGTATGCTCCAGGGACCAGCCTAAAGTGATAACACCGTTGTGATAGTATGTGTAAAATGGTTACACACAAAACAAAAAATATTGCTATATGAATAACTCAGCATTGATTAAGATTTTTATGTGTGATGATTGTTTGTGAATGTCTCACCAATACGTGAGGTGATAGTCTCCAGGTCCGAGAGGAAAGCAGGGATCTGCTGCAGTTGTTCCTGCAGCTCCGGCACTGCTCCTCGTCTCTTCTCCCAGTGTGCACACAGCATTACAACCTCCCCGTCCACCGTCTGACAGACAGACACAACCACAGGGTTTAGTTACCATAGTTACAGCACCACAGACTACTCAACTGTACAGAGTTAGATATGTGAACTTACTTCCCCGGCATTAGCACACTCTTTAGCCCGTTTATGAAGAGCCACCCAAGTGTCTTCATATCTGGTGACGACAAAGGCCATACATTTCAAAATATGGTTATGAATACATTTATCAACTTCAGGTATTTCTGAAAATATTTCCTTGACTCTTTAAATGGAGTTTAAACTGCATTAACATTTTTGTTGACAACTTAACATCACTGACATTTTTTATATGGTTGTGTAAAGTAAAGTAACTTACCGACTGAGCAACTCGATTCCAGCGGAATATTGCGGAAAGTGTTCATCTCTTCTGACAGAATATATGACAAAATATTCATATAATTGAATATATATATATCAAATAAAATATTATATAAAACATAAAATATGTCAAAGATGAGACATACCATTTTGGTCTTCACATTTTATATACATAGAAAGCATATTAAATGTAAGTAAAGTGTCAAATATTTCATTTTTTTTTTAAATATTTAATGTTAATCAAAGATTTAATATTTCAGAGTAACATATATGCATGTTAAAATTACACAACATACTTATTTTGACCTGTACTTATTAAACTATATAAAAGAAAAAGGGATCAGACAAAATTTGATTATATTTTAATTGATTAAAATTTCTTGCTGACAAATGGGTAAAACTTTGAATGATCATGTTAAAGATTTGTAAAGATTTAAAATCACAATTAATTAGTTTTGGGGGGTTGTGCTGTGATCCTTACATAAAGTATATTAATGTCATCTAATGATTCTTGCTCTAAATATGCCTAAAAATATTTTTTGTTACATTAACTATTGTTAAACTGCATGATATTTTAGTGGCTGTCTTCAGTAAATCATGGTAAAAAGTATATTCATAATTTTTGCTCAGAAAAAAAATGTAAACAGGACACAAAAAAATCTGTAATAAATTGTTTTATTTTATATTATATACATTGAGAAGTTTTAAACTTGTTACAGCTTACCTTTGTTTCTTCTTTACTTTTGTCTCCTTGGATTTGTCACTTAAGGTCTTGATTCTGAAAAGTTTTTTAATATGAGACCGTAAATATCTAAATAATACGCCTAGGAACAAAACTACACTATTGTATAGCTTTGTGATTGGTTACTTATGTTTTGGTTTGTGCGGTTTCTTACTGTTGTCGAAAACCCAGTGTCATTTTGAAACATTTACATTTAACGTTACGTTTCCGCCGTGTTAAAAAGAAAAATGGATTTATATAAGAAACTGTGTCATAAAAACGCAGAAATTCTGTCTCGCCCATCACATGACGGTCAGCTGGAAGTTATTAGTACAATTCCAGATTGCAGTTGTTAGCATGCGGCTAACTTGACAGCACTGAACATCTCGAACGTGTCATTCTTCATCCTATAAAAATACATTATGAAATACACTTTCTTTTTAAACCAACCAGACTTTGTTTTGTCAATATCTAAGACAAAGACAAACTACACTCTTCGCTGTAAGTGAGATTATTAGCAGGCTAATTAGCTAGCATCCACTTCTTTTTGGCTCTTCGCTGAATAAGTGGACACTCTCACGAGGAAGCCAAAACATACGTTGTGTCAATATTGTGTAATACCTGTACAGGTTCTAAATGTCACCTAATTTAGCTATCTCAACACCTTATTAAGACTCTGGAGAGTACGAAAGCAGCCAGGTAGTAAATACATACCCTGATGTAAAGTCCTGCTGCACCGTTTGCAGTCTCTCTCTGAAATTCTCAAACATGTCCTTGAGCTGTTTTAATCCTTCTACACAGGCTTGATGGATGACATTTAGATTAGATCTGTGTTTGCTTACAGTCTTTCACGAGGGCTTCAGTCATCCCTTGTCAGATGACAATGTCCTAATGTCCCGTTGTGGGCTTTGCTCCGTCGGACAATGTCTGCAGGACTTACGTTAGTTGGCTTATTCATGCAACCACTGTTTTACCTTCTCAGTTATCAACAGTGGATTTGGATCACTATATTATAATCACACCCAGTTTGTCTGAAGTTAAAATTGTTATTCTTTCCTCGTTGTCTGTAGGATAGCTGTATTAACGTGAGTCCTTCCTGTACTAGTTAAACACACGCCCTCAAAACGATCCGGGGCCGTGGTTGGATCTAGATCCAACTCCTCCCACCTTTCATATACCTAAACCTACCCGTCTCCACCCCCTGATCCCTAAACCCACCCATCTCCACCCCTAAACCTACCAATCTCCACCCCCTAGATGTGGCTCCAACCACGCCCCCTGGATCTTGTGTTCCGCAGCGAGGGGCTACTGGGACTTAGAGCGAAAGTGACTGAAGGGTTGTTCAGCGATTCTCTAATCTAATTCATTTTGGCGAATCGGTTCATTATACAGTTCGTTTCAATGAACCGGTTAAAAAAATACTGTAGTTTTACTATACTAACTATAGTTTTGCTTTACACACTATAGTACAGAATATCACATATACAGGAGCTACCTGAATCACGTTTATGTTGCCATATTCACTTGTTATTGGTGTTCAGATTTTTTAAATGTGTAGGTGCTGCTATGTCATTTTTTATGCTATGTGTCACTATGTGTAGCCTAGCCTAGTTAAATATTCAATATTTAAAATTCAATCGTTTTATGTAAATTAGCACTAAGACCTGTAGAGAAACGCAATTTCGTTTCTCCTTGTACATAAATGGTCGAATGTCGACGAATATTATTTGACTCGAGTGTGGAACAAACGCTTTGCGAATCAGTTCGATCGAATCATTTAAAAGAACCGGTTCAAAAGAATGATTCGCGATTCGGACATCAGATAACGTAGAGGCGGATCTTTGAGTTAGAGCAGGGCCTCATAAATCTGCTCTCGCTGAGTTTCCAATGAGGTGTGAGCCAGTGACGGGACCTTCTCTCCGCTGTCCTGAACTGTGTGTGAAACAATAACTGCATTCACCATGTTATGCCACATAACTCGTCCGGACTCGGTGGTTCTGGAAGTGGAGGTGGACCCAAAAGCAAACGGAGAGGACATTCTCAATAAGGTGAGTGTCGGGAATTTACGTTTCAAGTTTAGGTTTTTAAAGTTATCTAAGCCTTTCTTAATTATCACATGCTCATTAGCATCATATACAAGATGGCAAATGTAATGTATCATCTTGAATGTCATGTCAATTACTGTATAGAACACAAATGTTTGGCAATTTTCATCTATATAGTTTAAAAAATAATGAATTTTATTATTTTAAATAATTCATTTTTATATTAGAATAATTTAACGAATTATTTTAACATTAATTGATTTGCAGCATTTGTGATTTTCTACAGCAGATGTAAGAACTTCTCGTTCTTTTGTAAAATGATTTATGCATCAGCAATTTACTTTGAAAGCAGGTGTTCTCATACCATATAACCACTTCAAAAGTCCCTCTTATGTAATATGTCTTGTCTTTCTAAAGGAGGAGGGGTGGTAAGAGCCCAAGTCCCAGCATTCTTCAGATGAAAGCACACATACTTATGCATCCAAAAAATTACCATTTAATGTTTTTGTATTTAATCCACAGATATGTCGGAAAATGGGAATCATAGAGGTAGATTATTTTGGACTTCAGTTCACCGGTACAAAACGAGAGATTTTATGGATGAATCTCAGAAACAGGATTTCTCAACAAGTGGACTGCATGTCTCCTTGCAGACTGAGGCTGCGAGTGAAGTTCTTTGTTGAGCCACATCTAATCCTGCAAGAGCAAACCAGGTAAAACTACCAAAGTGAATATAAGTGGTCATATTTTACATTAGTGCTCATAGTTTGTGCATAATTGTGCACAAAACATAGTTTTTCCATTATTAAAAAAAAGGATCTGTCTGTTGCTGCAGAGTCTTTGAGGTTTTACAATTTTTGCTCACTTTGGAGAACTTGAGGCATGCAGATAAGTTCTGTTTTTTTTTTTTTTTTTTCTACTGAGCGCAAACAGGAAGCGGATCTGTCTGTTGCTGCAGAGTCTTTGAGGTTTTACAATTTTTGCTCACTTTGGAGAACTTGAGGCATGCAGATAAGTTCTGTTTTTTTTTTTTCTTTTCTACTGAGCGCAAACAGGAAGCAGCTGCCTATTGTGCTTAAAGTGACAGTATAATTTAAAAATCCATGTGTTCTGTTGTTTTTTGTTCTTACCTTTGATCCACATCTCCATGTATCTATTCATAATGTCTTTCTTTTACCTCTGTGGCAGTTACCTGTGTGCATGTTTGCTCTTGAAACTGGCACTCTTTCAGTGGAGTGCCTCATATAGGCCTGCTGAGGTAAATCATATTCCTCTGGAGGCTTTTTTAAGGGACATCTGTGTATGCATGCTCAAATCTTTATAAATGTTCCCTAAAGTTCAAGAAAAGTAAGCATTTTTGTGGGATGCTCTGGAATACAATGGTAGTACAGTGTGCTCCCAACTAGAGTCTAGTGGAGCTGTTTGGTCACATCTGACGAGGGCTGTTGGTGGGGGTGGGGAAGTGTCAGTATGTCTGATTCTGAGTTGAAACGCACTGTAATGTGATTCTCCCTGTTGCATAATCTTATACAATAGCGGGACAAAATCCAGCTCACTCTCCGTCAGCCTTTGTTAGTCTTTAAATGCATGATTATGCCAAGAGATTACTTATTGTAATGCAGACTGTGAACTTTATTGTTTTACGTTAAAATGCATATTGGCTAATAGGCTACTTGTCTTTATGTGATGCAATATTAATCATAGTAAATACGTCAGTTGGCAATAGGTTTGATCTGCATTATTTAAAAGTTTATAAATGTATTATACTATTTCTTCCCTGTTCTCACATGTACAAGTGATTTATGTCAAGTTATAGAAATATGTTCCAGAAGTCACAAGTCTGCTTCTGTTACTAAAGTTCACTGGGTTTAGGCTGCTGAGTAAACTTGGCCTCAAGCCAGCTCATTTTTTTGATTATATCAGTGGGCTGACAGTGCATTGACGTTTTTGAGAGAAACAATTACATAATGATGATTTTAAAAAACAAACAAAATTATTCACATTATTATCTGTCTATATTCCATACACTACAACATCCATTTACCATATGAAAACAATTTAGAAAAATAATAAACACTGGTGTGTAAGTATATAGAATTGACTAATGTGCTTCTTGTTCCTTAATGAGTAGACTTCACGTCTTGTTATGAAATATGGATTTATTAAGTGTTTCCATGTATTCCCTGTTGCTTTGCAGACATTTGTTTCTGATGCATGTGAAAGAAGAGCTTTTCAAAGGAAGCTTGCGATTGGACGCAGAGCAGGCGATCGAGCTCTGTGCACTACTGGCTCAGGCGAAGTTTGGAGATTACAACCATAACACAGCCAACTACTGCTACTCCCAGATATACGGTCAAGACCCCAGCCGTGATACCATCAACAAGTAAGTACACTGGAAAGTGTATACAGTATTCTCAGTCAGAATAACATCTGTTCTTCCTCCAAATAAAACTAAAGTAATTCTTCCTCTGAATGCTGTATAGAAAGAAAGTGATTGAGACAGTTTTGTGGAATTTTTACAGTGTCTTTTGTGTTTTTATAGTATTTTGTTGAGGCATAAGTCACTGGAGAGTGTTAGTCAGGCTTCAGCAGAATATCAAGCCCTGCAGCTGGTTTCCTCCCTTAACTACTATGGCGTCGAGTGGCACTCCGCACGTGACTCTGAGGGACAGGAGCTGCTCATCGGGGTTGGACCAGAGGGCCTGTTTGTGTGCAAAACAGATTTAACCCCTATTGAAAGGTGCATATATATGACAACAAAATAAGAAACACTGTTAAACACCGGGTCATTCAGAGATTTAAAATAAATGTGTCTATAACATCTCACCTTTATTTTTTCTTTCAGAATCATTTACCCAGTCATTCAAATGGCCACTCAGTCTGGAAGGAATGTGTATGTGACCATTACAAAAGACAGTGGGGACAGTGTGGTTCTTCTTTTTAAGTTCATCAGTCCCAGTGCTGCCAATGGACTATATCGTGCTATCACGGAAATCCATGCCTTCTACAGGTGAATATTGTTATGACTCTACCGAATGTACTTTAGTAAAGGGATTTTTTAAAAGAGAAAAAGCATTTGCTTTTAAGCATTTGCTACTGTTCAACCAGGGCTGTTATAGTTTTGAATTTTGAATTTAGTTTTATTTCTGTTTTATTTTAAATCTGTCTGACTTTAGTTTTTTGTTGGTTTTCACTGTCATTGTTAGTTTTTTAAAGTTTATTGAAGTTTTATTTTATTTAGCATATTTTTATTTTAAATGTAAAAAGAAACAAAACATTAATTTAATTTTCAATTTTCATTATCTCGATGTAAAGATGAGCAGATTTTCTAGTTTGTGTATATTCACAACACCTGCAATACAGAAACTTTGTGGGCTCCATTAGTGCTCAATAGATTAAAAATATAAACATATAAACCATAGAACAATTTAAAACTATTTCATACCCATTTTTAATTTAACACAATTTGAACTTAACTCTTCAGGTGTGACACTGTAATGAGCACAGTGAAGATGCAATATAGCCGTGACTTCAAGGGTCATCTGGCTTCCCTTTTCCTCAACGAAAGCATTGACCTTGGTAAAAGGTACATCTTTGACATTCAGCGCACATCCAAAGAAGTATATGACTGTGCGCGTCGAACCCTGTTCAAAGCAGGGATGGCTGTGACCGGATGTGGTAGCCCAAGAGACGGTTGCAGTCACTCTCCCCTGAGACAGACAAAAGCTGAAAGGGAGGAGCGGATGTGTGGCGGCTGCAGAGAAACTTGCTTACTGAAGGAGAAGCTCCAAAGGCTACAAGAGGCCCTGACCTGCACTCTGTGCTGTGAACAGGAGATCAATGCTGCGTTCTGTCCTTGTGGACACATGTTCTGCTGCTATAACTGTGCCGGCCAACTTCAGGTGATTGTGGCATAATTACTACAAGATTAGTGCCATTTAGAACTATAAAAAATACATACATGTACAGTATATGACTTAGAATTATAAACAATATATACTGTAAGTACCAAGTCCAATTCTATCCATGCAGGCTGTGTTAATCATAATCTAACACAATAAAGTCTAAAAATGTCATAATCATAATTTTTTAATATATATATATATTTTTTTAATATATTTTATTTTTAATATATACACACACACACATATGTATACAAAAACATAAATTATGTGTGTATATATTATATATAAAATGTCTCACTATATATTTATATAATACTATATTACATATAATATTGTGTTATATTATGGTATTTTCTTGTGAAAAAAACGTTCAACTCATTCAACATTGATGACAAATAAAATAAAGTGATTTTTTTTCTCATGCTTAGCAATCATCTAAATTGACCAGTTAAGTTAATGATGTAAGAGAACTTACACTCTTAGGTTTACATAAACCTCTGGTTACCCTCATAACATATTTCTCGACATGTGCTGTCAACCATTAGCGGCTGAAGATCTCGATAATCAGACATTTCATATTACGCAGCAGTCCTGTGACCTTTTGAATTTCACCCTCTGACATCACAGAAGTGTTCTATCACTTCAGCGGTGCATGACTGTATAGTTAAAGCTGGCACATTGCCTAACTGCATAATTAACATGAACAATAAAGAAAAAAATTTAGAAGTTTAGTTTAGTTTACAAGAATATGTTTGTGTGTTAGCATTCATGATATTTTCCCTTCTTTCCTCTCTTATCAGTGTTGTCCAGTGTGCCGGTCAGATGTGTACCGTGTTCAGCATGTCTATTTACCCACCTGTGCCATTCTACTTAGCCTGGCAGAGGCAAAAACGACCACCTTCAGTGTGCCCAGAGGAACTGCCGTCTCAGTGGATTGTGGCGATAAAGAAAATACCTGCCAGATGGACACCATTGGCCACAGACTATTTTAAAAATACAGAAGAAATATTATGATAAAATATACAGTGGTTCTTAAGTGTGAGCTGAAATGCACAGAGTGAGGCCAGCTATCCAGAAGTAGGCCTACCTAAAAAAAAAAAAAACAATTACCACTGTTAATTATACTGTTAGTTTTCACAGTATGCACATTACATTACATACTAAGTAACGCTTTACTGTAATTAAATTTTTCCTGATAACAGAGAAAAGACCCTAAAATATTCAGTTACAGATAAGACTAAGACATCAATCGAATATGTAAACGGTCTACTTTTATTTGTGTACACTGACAATAACAACAAACATTGTGCCTTTTAAAATAAACAAAACAACCAGGGTGGGCTTTCTGCCATCTCGGTCTCTGTGAACTTCTTTCTGGAACACGTCACAAAAATTAACCGAAACTCAGAACCAATGAACCAATACTTGACACACAGACGTGAGAAATATGTCTATAAAAAACTTTGAAAACAAATATTCTGTGATTATGTAATCCGTATGAAACTAAAGCGAGATACAGTCTTTCCCATCTGAGCTCGTGCAGCCATACCTGCGCGCAAACACCCTCATCACCTATATACACAAAAAAAAAAACGGAAAATCTGATCTCATCTACATTTCATCGTTTTTGGAAGAAGACCTGCTATGAGGAATAAGCCAGAATTTACCTAATTTATTCTTACTTTAGTTAACGTGTTATTTTTATAAAAACTAATTTTACTAGTTGGGCTTTAAACTATCTTGCCAAACTGAAATGTCTGTGAAATATGAAATATGTAGGCAACTTTTTATCACAGGCTAAATGTCGTACAAAACGAGGATGTACATTTTTTGCTATCATATAATAAAAATGAGATATAATGCTGTGAATAATGTGAATGTTTACATTGCAGCATGATGAATGTTACAGTCTAGGAATGTTTAGATCAGTGTTTACTGATCTACTATCAGATGTCTATGTTTATAATGTGCTAAGCAATAATAATTTATTCAGATATTTTGCAGAGTAATTCTATTCGTTAACCAAAGAAGGTTACATTTTAAAAATATGTTTATTACAGTTGTTTTAACGCTAAAAGGCTAAACTATTCCATGTTTGACTCAAATTAAAATAAGATTTTCATTTCTATTGTCTATGCATCAAGGTGTATAGGGATTTTAAAATGTAATTAACGATTCAAGTAATTAAGTTACTTATTGAGTAATTAAATTACTTTTCAGACAGAGTAATTAGAAAAGTAATTTAAATACAAATGTTGATGATGTAATTAGTAATTAATAACTTTTTGAAGTAACTTATCCAACACTGATTAGGACACACAAGTAAATACAAATGTAGTAGTTAACACTCCACATCAACTATATTCTATATCTTAAAGGATTTTTAAAGGTGCATTTTATATTTGTCTCTTTGTGTATACAGTTTTATCTTACAAATATTTTAGAAAATACATTAAGTTAAATTACATGAAAAGGGTTTCTTTCTAGTGCTACTGCAGAATTCATAAAACATGTCCTCTTTCATATTGACATGTATTTCATCCATATATTGTTATGAAATAAAGAGCATTTACATACATTTAATACCTGCCTGGTATTTTTTATTTATTCATTTATTTATTTTTTAATCAATTTTAGGATGTTAAATCCCCAGTATTACATCTTTCCATGTGCACTTTTGGTCATACAAACTATAACACTATACACACAAACTCTTTTTCACTTGATCCACCAATATTTAGCTGTATTGTATTTTTGTAAATATGCAAATTATATTTAAATATTTGAATAAGCAAATCTTGATGACTTCCAGTCTTTAAACCTTACTGTATAGTAGTCACATTTTAAAGTTCTGAGACACACGTTTTGCACATATAACTCTACCAATATACTGTACGTGATATGCTATATGTGTTACAGTACTGATATGTACCCAGTGTCTGATGTGTCAAAAGTGAATTGATGGCAAAGGTTATACCTAGTATAACGCTATGATAATTCTGAGGAGGCTAAGCAAGTACAGTAAAGTACAGATAACTATAAAGATATAAAAGATAAAGATAACTATAAAAATATAGCTGCAAGCAGCAACAAGGGGCCAAAGATTATAATTATCAAGGAACTTTGCTGCCGTACCATGGGTGCGGCAGGCGCAATGATATTACGCAGCGCCTGAAAATAGGCTAACTTCCGTCAAAATAACCAACGTGGCCACCTGCTTGCACAGGGAGCATGCTGGGGACTATTTTCAGGCGCTGCGTAATATCATTGTGCCTGCTGCACCCATGGTATGGCAGCTAAGTTCCTTGATTATTACGCCGGAATGAGAGTATAGTTCCTAGCCATATCGGCCTAGAAAAATTGCAACTTTTCATTTTCCGTCAGTCTTAGTACACGATGTAACTACAGAAGAATCAAGTTTTAAATAGTAAAAATATAGAAACTCTTTGGTAATTTGGTCATTGGTCATGAGCGAGATGCTAACTGTCTAATCAGATTCAATTATCTATGATGCCAACCCCTCAGAGGACCTCAGATGATGCCAACCCTGAAACAACATACAGAACTACCACATTTTGCTATAAGTTTGATTGCATCATATAATAATTGCTGTTAATATTGTTCATCGTCTGTTTTATTACGTCTTATATTGCTTTTTCCGTTCTGCTCGTTCGTCTGGTCAGAGGAGAACTGGCCCCCCGACTGAGCCTGGTTTCTCCCAAGGTTTTTTCTCCATTCTGTCACTGATGGAGTTTTGGTTCCTTGCCGCTGTCGCCTCTGGCTTGCTTAGTTGGGGACACTTCATTTCCAGCGTTATCGTTGACATAATTGCAAAGATATTATTTAAACTGAGCTGGATGTTGACATCACTGAATTCAATGATGAACTGTCTTTAACTGAAAAATGAGTCTTTACTATTGTCATTTTGCATTATTGACACTATTTTCCTAATTAATGCTGTTCAGTTGCTTTGTCACAATCTGTATTGTTAAAAGCGCTATATAAATAAAGGTGACTTGACTTGACTTGACTTATGCTAAGCTACAGCTAAAGGTGCTACCACCAGACTTGGAGATCGGCTGAATGGATTCGAAAACGGTCAAACTCAACTGTTTAACTCTAGGGGAGTTGGAAAATGAGCCTATTTTCAAAAATAGTGGAGTGTTCCTTTAAGTTAAATGTGGCAGTGTCAATCTTTTAACATATCACACTACACACTTTATTGTCATCTATGTTTCCACGAAGAACCTTTTGCATCCATGGAAACTCTGTTCATGACCCTAATAAAAAATGATTCTCTTAGGCTGATGATCGACGGGGCAACTTTTTGAGCAATGTTGCCGTCAATGGGCAACCAGGTGAGACACAGGGCCCACAACCGATCTAAAGTATCCAGATAGAAATTTGTTACCCATTCTCAACGTGAAAGTGCCCAAGCAACATTGCTCAAAAAAAGTTCCCTGGCAAAATTTTTCAAAAAGTTGCCCCGTGTATCATCAGCCTTAAGAGTGGCTCACTGAATATTCTTTAGGGAAACCAAATGGTACTCCAATGGTATCACAGCAAAAAAACAACAACAACAACAACATCTTACCATTTTATTTCTAAGAGTGCGTGTGGAATATATGAGGAAGTATACAGCATATATGCAGCATATGTGAGGATATATGAGGAATTATACAGCTTGTGTAGTCAGAATGTCAGTGTCTCAGGAGGCTTTTGTAAAGGGGTTAAGCACAACCTTGTCTTTGCCACTGAATAATTCGAAGCATCTATATGTAGCCGTACAATCAATTTTAGGTTTATCATCTCAAATAAAATCGCAGTTCATCAAAGGAAAAAGGCAACTAAAATTGGCACAATATTTTATTAGTGATTATACAGATACAATAAATTTGTACTATATAGGAATTCACTGAACTGGACATATTTGCCAAAAGTCGAGTCCAATGTTCCTTACCATTTCACAAAAATCAAAACAGCTACAAAAACTTGCAAGCACCACCAAAGAAATGTTCACTGACTTCACTGAACAGTCTTGGATGCTCTGTTCACATAAATACGCCACAGTTAGAAAAGTTGAGGTTGACTTCTGTCTTAATTGCTTTTTGTCAGTTTGTAGAAAAGGAGCTTGTCAAAGAATGAGAAAAATATCACAGGTACAACGAATCACACAAATATAGTTATTTACATTGAATATATCAGAAAATGAGAAATTAGTTATGTGCTTTTTTTTCTTTTTTAAAGATAAGTTTCACTCTGGCGATTGAGGTTTAACGGGAGGTAAAACATCTAGAACTTCCTTTACAAAAAAAACAAAAAACAATGAGATCCGTGACTGTAGGTTATAGGTCAATTTCTAGACATCAAGCTTGGTCTTCCAACCCAAAATGAGGCCTTGTGGTATTGCTAGAGCTAATGCTGGCTATGGACCATTGAGGCATATGCATACATCAAAATCTGACTGTCTTTGGATATATATAATATTTAAAAAAGCCATATTGTTGATTCCCAACCTTGTACATACTACAGAAAATGTTATTTTCCCATATGAATACATTTTCAATAACAAGCACATGAGTTACATTCGCAACATGTCATCATGCTAGTTAAAAATTTGCCTTCTTTGTACATTGGGTGCATGTACAGTGATGGGCTGTAGAGGGCGCAATAGTCAGCCAGTGACTTCCCATGAGTCATACCACTGGGGCTCAAACGAACACCAGCTCAGTTTTTGTAACTTTGAGCGTTTTTGCAAAAAAGGTAATACAGGAACAGAAACAGTCAGGCCAGTTTCTCAACCTGAGAATTATAAATCACTATAATGCTTTTATGCCTTCAAGTGGTTGATAGCTATAGCTTTCTTTTTAAAAACAAACAAAAAACGTTTTTTTGATGCAGACGATAATAAATCGCTGTTGTTAGGTTAAAACGGAACAGCACACACTGGATAAAAGAACGTTTGTTGCCACCAGTGTTGAAACCTGACTGTCTTCAATGAAGTTATCCACACAGTGCACAAACACACAGGTTTACATGAACATAGCTACACAGGAAAATAAAGAGAGAACAATGATAAATATGAAACAAACAACAATCCAGAAACACTTACACTTTTGTAATGGTTTTTAGTCTATTGTCATAGCACTGAATTTTCTACTGCCTTACCAATATCACCATTACAATAGACTGTATTAAACATAGTGTAGCTGTGTGGCTACTAATCAACAATCCCTTTCAGTTCTCTTTCATTGTCCCCTCTCTTTAAAGTGCATAAAATCCAAGTCCAAATTGGACTGAATGTGCAATCAAGCATTACTTCTACAATATGAGGTCTATTGAGATTCCATCTGAATATAACCCTAGACACAACAATACCTTTTTCAAGTCCGTCAACAAACTGACTTAAGTGTAAAACTCTCACTCATGACCGCACATATAAAAATGTATAGTTTCTAGGTGACCTACAGAGCTGGCAATATGACGTGTTAACTATAAGACTCCATACATACACTTGGCTTTACTCTTTAAAACGTCTACTTGTGCAAATAGCAAAATTCTTAAATGTATTCAAAGATTTTTTTCTGAATTTATAACAGCACTCATATGTATTAAACAGTCAGTTGAGTTAGATAATAATTATTTTGTGACGATAGTTCCATAAGACTTTTGTTTATGGAATAGACCAATTATATTTTTCATAAAAAAAAAGGTTTATGGATTATTACCTTATCTGTAATTTTTCATTGCAGTGTACTAAATTAATTCCTTTAAATTTGTTTAACATGACCAGCACAGCAAAGATAAATACAGATAAAATAGATCATGTGGATATTAAAATCTAAAAATAGTGTCTCAACATTCATTTTGTTTTGTTTTTTTCTATGCAGAGAAGTTAAAAGTCTGACAATGACATGTTTAGGCCATTAACAGCATACTGCTAAGTGTGGAGAAATCAACATTTTAAAAGAGACCCACAGTGGATGACATACCTTAGTCTGAGCAGTAGCTATATATTATTTTGATGCAAACAAAAATTAGGCTGTGAGAGACTGAAGTACAGGTCATTCGGAATGTCTTAGGTCAATGTTAGCGATCCATTTTTGACCACTGGAAATTTAGATTTTCGGTGAACGAGAAGATTGTACACAGCATAGTGTCCTCCTTTGATTCACTGATTCTTACTATTTAAATGATCATATTTGGGTAACTTTTATTAACTTTATTAGATGCTAAATTTCCTATATAAACAAGTTTCGATACAAAAAGGCCAATTCTGTCTGAGAAACCTGTGAAACGTGGCTTGTTTTGAACAACGAGGATGCTGCGTAGATTTAGTTGTATGGTAATTATATTGTGTCTTTAACAAAGAATTTATTATTGCAGCTGGACTGATTAAGACACACAATACTTAAAATAGTGTAAAGAAGACATCATTATTGAAAAATATTAAATGCGAAGTGCTTTGCATGTAAAATGGGTAGTAATGCACAAAATAACTAACAGCACTCAAAATGGTCTGTTGCTGTAGTAACAAAACAGAGGTGGGAATGTTTCCATCCATTCATTCAACTTCCCCTAACCTTTCTTTAAAGTGCTAATTCTGACTTGAATGGAGACTTCTCTACATAGCCACTCTGACAATGTGAAGATTTCTCCAACGCTTACTCACTCAAAACTGAGATCACAGATCCGATCAGGCAATCTGAGTGGGTTAACTGGTAAATGCACACATGAGGTATGTGAAAGCTCAGTATTGCATATCTACAAGACTATCAGCAATTCAATTAACAAATAAGGATAAATCATTTAAAATTCAATGTTGTATCTTGATGTCAGATTCAAAGTAGTCACTCGAGCAAAGCCTGTCACTTTCATATGACATTATGTAAGCAAGGGATTATTGAGGGCAGTAACAAGTGGAAGGCTGCTTCTGTTAAGAAAATCATGCTCACACAATTTAAGGAAATCACTCGTAATCATAGTCACACAAATGACAAAATGTCTTACAGTTAACCTTTTTCCATCAATCCATGTAACAGTCCCTATCCAGTAAAAGCCCTGATTATGAATGAATTCAGTACACAGTAGACAAACAGACACTGAATGCTCAGCAAGCTGAGAAAAAAAGTGGTCAGACCTTGCAACATACAACCCAAAACTGTCATGTCCAGCTGATTTAAAAGAAAGTCTAAGGATTAATATTACATATGACATGACTCAAATGATCACAGACATTTTTGTGTAAAATGATCTAATATTACAGTAACCATGAATTTGATAGGAAAGCAACAAAGTACCAAAAAGAAATCTGCTCTTCCTTGTCCCTCTTACAGTACATGGCAGTGATGGGGAAAGTATTCTGAGTCTTTGTTATTGAAGCAAAAGCATTTTCTTGGACACCAAGCAAAAATAAACTTTATTTAGTTAATCACCCTTATGTGATTTCTCAAATTAAGTAAGGCTAATTAATGTATATCTTGGTTAGAAACTGACTCCCCACCACTGCTCTATGGAGTTCTGAACATCCTCAGCATCCTGTGCTGGAGCGGCCCTCAATGCTGACCTTCAGGTGATGTGGGAGAAAGGAAAATTTTGGTAAAATCTGAGGGTCCTCTTCCGACCTCCACACTTTTCCCCTCTCTGGTGCAGACCATCTCCTCTTGCGGCTAGCTATTCTCTCAGCACTAAATGTGTATGTTTTCTCTGCCTGGTTCTGGAGGTTCACCTGTGTCTGAGGATTTATGCCCCCATCCTCCAAGAGGGTCAACACATTTCTTGGGTTGGAAGTCTCAACCAGTGTTCTTGCACTATTTTCCACTCCTGATGTCATTTTGTGTCCTTTCTTAGGATCCTCTATTTGGGTTGGTCTTTCCTCACTTGGCCCATTGTTTTTGGCTGGTTTCAAAGTATTGTTTTGTTTCATCACAGAGTCTGAAAAATTATCTTTCTTTTGAATACTATAATTTAGGCTTTTAAGGGTGAGAGAAATACAAACATCACCCACAGAGAGTTTAGCACAGGATAGTGCTAGCAACTGGGTGGTGCGGTCAGGGCAGCAGGATGACCAACCTTGACCAAACACAAAGAAAGGGTATTCCACCAGAACCTCGACACAGACCTAAAACAGAACAAAACAAAAGTAATGTTTGAGTTCCAATGGTTCATTCAGCTCTACAGAAGATTACTGCTAATATGAAAAGTGAGCTTGGTTTAAAAAGAAACTGACTCACCTGGGCTTTGTTCTCTCCCACTGAGAACTGTATGATGACAGCATTGGGTGTGCAGCTGCACTCTATGCGCTCTACAGTGCTGGAGTCAATCTTCAGTTCTTCACTCACCTCCGCACTTTGCACAAAGTCCTCTGTCCGCAGATCCTCCACACGCTTTAGTTCACCGTCTGCCAACTGAATGATAGAGCCCTTCATGAAGAATGGTGGTAGGCCCGCTGATGGTGATGATGGTGAGCTGTGAGGGCTTGTGGATGTCGGAGGTGTTACAGGAACTGGAGATCCCACCACACTGGCTGAAAGAACTGGCAGCTGTATTTGGGATGGACTTGGCACAACACAGGAGGCATGACCTCCGTCAGAGACTGTGATGTCTTTACCATTGGGTAGGACTGAAGCTGCAGCTGCAGGTGGGGATGTATTAATAAAGGTCTGAGGCAGAGCTGTTGACGCATTGGCTACACTGGGGATTACAGAACAGCGGGTGACCTCTGGCTCAGCAGTAGTTGGATTGATGTTAGTGGCACTCACCGGAATGAGCAAGGAGGGGTTGCCTGAGATCACCATGTGCTGTGGCAGGTTGCTCTGATAACCAGTTACTGCTTGCTGGGGTCCACCAGAAGCACTGGTGATGTAGCCAATAATTGGGAGCTGTGTTGCAGAGTAAAGGCTGGTGGAGAGCTCTTGTTGAGGAGTGTTGTGAGGAGCCTGCAGGAACGTGTGCGGGGAGATTGTGGAGGCAGGAGAAACTTGGCTGTCTGAGGAAGTAAGGGCAGACACTCTAGACATTGGTTTGCCTATGCAGATCCCTCCTCTCTCATTAAGGTGCAAAGATGAGTGGTCCTTACCCAAGATACTTTGGAGCTCTGAGTTGTTGTTTGCTGCTAGGTGGCTACTGGATATCAACATCAGCGATGTCTGCAGTCCTGTTCTGTCATGAGTGCTGTAGTCTGCTGGGAGCAGAACCTGAGCTTGGGTCTGGAGGCCCAGGTCGTGGTTTTGCTTGTGGCTCTGGTTGCCTTCTGACTGGCTAGAAATTACTTTGGCAGTACTGTGCTTGACCACTGCAATCTCTCCTAGTGTACCATTCTGCAGCTCTCTGTGATAGGAGTCCGGTTGCTTTGCAATGAAGCCATCTGTGTAGTGTAGAACCACTTGAGAGGGGGTAAGGGCCAGGGCATGAGGGGCAAGGACTGAATGTGGATGGATTTGAATGGGCAGTTGGGCAGAAGGGGAGGAAACGGTCAAACCCAAAGGCGCACTTTCTACCTGGATGCATTGACTGTGGGAAACATTTGGTATAGAAGAAATCACATGATGATTCTGTGAATCAATGCTGGATGCTTGGGAGATTACAGCTGTTGTGGCCAAGACCTCTTGTGGTGTCCTCCGTGGCTGTGTTGGACTAGTCGTGGACGGCACAATCTGTGAAGAGATATAACTTGTATAGGGCCCTATGAGCTGGAGATTGGGGGGAAGTTGTGTGTATTGGACGGAGCCTATAGTTTGAGGAAGGCTTGTGGCGAGAACCGCAGGATTGGATGTTAGCACGGTAGGCCCAGAGAAAACTCCCCTGTATGTGGAGCTATTGGAAGAGAATGAAAAGCCAGCAGATGTATTAGTTGGAGGATATTCCGTCACCACAGTGAGAGCCTTATTTGATGGTGGGGGGCTGTCAGGCTCAGCACTGTTGCTCTGTGATGGGCCTGCATTGTTGGGGATGTGGGCCATGCTAGCCATTGTAGCAACGCTGGCAAGCCAAGCCAAATTCTCTCCACTCTGGCTGTCACTAACAGCAGCTGACACCAGCACCTGCTTCTCTTCCAGAGCTAAAATCTCCCGCTTTTTTGGCGGAAGGCACTCATTACAACGCTCCTGGTTAGACTTCATGGTCTTGGAGCTTTTCCCGAATTTTAACCCACTTGTCTTGATCAAGATATTTTAAAGTGCAAAGTAGAACTCAGTTGTTAAGATATTCATTGTTCTATTACTTTGCTCCCCTTTTACTATAGTCTTGTCCATTGTCAGGACTCTTGTCATGAAAGGATCCATGTGCTTCATGTGGAATCATTTCTCACTGATGGCTATTGGTCCGTACCTTCATCAGACAGACAGAAAACAAAAACAAACATTGAGAAAGTGCATCCTTTTTGCACTGCCTTTGATTCTATGAAACTAGCTCAAACCTATCTGCCTAAAAGTAGCACATTATGTGATTTTGATCTTACAGTACCATCCTTTCAGTTATGAGGGCCAGGTAAAGAAATAATTTGTGACCCTGAACCACAAAACCAGTCTTAAGTCGCTTGGGTATATTTTTAGCAGTAGCCAAAAAAAACATTGTATGGGTCAAAATGATAAATTGTTCTTTTATGCCAAAAATTATTAGGATATTAAGTAAAGATGAAGATATTTTGTAAATTTCCTACCATAAATATATCAAAACTTAATTTTTGATTAGTACCGTAATATGCATTGCTAAGAACTTCATTTGGACAACTTTAAAGGCGATTTTATCAGTGTTTCGATTTTTTTTGCACCCTCTGATTCCAGATTTTCAAATAGTTGTATATCGGCCAAATATCGTCCTGTCCTAACAAACCATACATCAATGGAAAGCTTATTGATTATGTATAAATCTCAATTAAAAAAAAATTACCCTTATGACTGGTTTGTGGTCCAGGGTCACATTTGAAATGGAATATAATTGATTTTGTTTAGCAACTGGACATTTATATTTACTATGCTAAAGGAAGGGGACAATTACCTCATGCTATTGCTAACCAAATCAAACCTTCACCTTTTCTACTGAACACTTTGACTTCCATTTCCTTTCCAAGTATTAGCGTAAACCACAGTTTAGTGAAAAAAGCTATGTTCATTGAGTGAGATCATGTATAAATGTTAATGCATTTATGAATGATGCTCACGGTTTTATTCAAGTGATAAGTGATGGATCTCTAAGGGGCTACAATGAACACGTCTCCATAATCAAATGTAAATCTAAATCGGCCTCATGCTTTAAAGGGGTCATATGATGCGATTTCAAGTTTCCCTTTCTCTCTGGAGTGTTACAAGCTGTTCGTGAATAGATAAGACCCCTAAAGTTGCAAAGACTAAAGTCTCAAACCCAAAGAGATATTCTTTATAAAAGTTAAGACTGGTCCACGCCCTCCTAAAACGCCTCATTTAAACACGCCCCCACATGTCTACGTCACTGTGTGGGAAGATTTGCATAACACTGCCCACATGTATACGCAAAGAAAGAAGGCATAACTTTGATTCTCACTGTAGTATTGTTGCCACCACTGCCATGTCGTGGAGGTGCTGTGTGTTTAGTTGTGAAAGCGAAGCTACTTTGTTTGGTCTTCCAAATGAGGACACAACTAGAAATCAATGGTTAAGTTGTATTTACAACACTGTTCCAGAACAGTTCAACCCAAATATTCAGATGTGTGCAACGCATTTTACGGAGGACGAGGACTGTTTCCTAGGAGAGTAGCCTACAATGCTGGTGTTCCGGTAAATTCAGTTCCCCTGTTTCCCCTTCGTCGTGCATGCTGACCCTATACAGTCTGTGATGCTGACACATAATGCTGACTCACAGCCTGTAAGTACTTTTTCATATTTAAGGGATTTGCCACTGACGATTCAAACGCGAGTTTTGAGCAGTGTAGAGTAGTGCTTGTTGTTTGTCGTTTCTCCGATCACAAATGCAGACATGGTTTTATGTTTACGCGGTGCGATGCAACGTAATGTGTAAAAAGACAGTATAAGTCATAATCAGTAATTATGTCCCCACTGGATGCAACAAATGCCTCGTTTATAATGGGTTTTATTGGTTTTGTTTTGTCGCGCTGGGACACGGCATCACAGTATGGTAAGGGGCGTAACATTTCTGTTACACGCTTGAGGTATTCGGCCAATCACAACGCACTAGATAGCTGACAAATCAGAGCACACCTAGCTTTTCAGAACGATGAGCTTTGTAAAAATCTACACGTTTCAGAAAGGCAGGGCATAGAGGAGAAACAATAATGAACAGTATGTGGAAAATAATGTGTTTTAAACCGCATAAACATTTCATTACACCAAATACACAAAATAATGTTATTTTTTAGCAACGTCATATGACACCTTTAAGGACTAATAATGTTTGCATATTCATACAGTCCATCTACATACATCAATGAGGATAAAGAGAGCACAGGATGAAAACTTAATATGCAGAAAGAGTGTGTGGACAGGAAAAAGATGAAGAGAAAGAGAGAACACTGGCTCTCCTGACCCACATTGAGCTCTGCCTGCAAGCGAACATAGTTATTGAGTTAGAGTGTAACAGTGGAGAAGAAAGAAAGAGAGAGAGCAAGAGAGAGTGAGGGAGGGGGAATAGAAGGGAGAGATCCCTTCACCACAGTAGATCTGCACCAATCACTGCCCTACTTTCCCCTGCTACAGCTTACACCACACACAGCCATTAAATGCTTCGGTCTATTGTACACAAGAGCACAATACACACACGTACACATCAGCATATCCATTGGACTGATACGCGCTTATGCATATGTGATTTGGTGCAGAGTGCTCATGTATCAAAGAACAATAGAACTGTAGTGATCACATAGATCACAGTCTTACACGGCTTTCAATGCACATAGCATAATAAAAGTATATTAAAACATTACATATAGATATAACTGCATTCCCATGTATCATTTCATGCATTTACAGGGGTCCATAACAAACATTTTTGTGATACATTATCAGATTCTAAAACTGGGTGAAAAACAAAATTTCACAATACAGGTAGACCAAATTGTTTACCATTAACCTAAAAACCAGAGAGACTATGAAAATGCTTTAATGAAAGACTGAATCAGTGGAAATGAAGCTTAATCCTCCACTGAGGGTTTATAAGACTTCTGAATGTAATATTTGCTTGGGTTTTGTGTTTCTAAGATGTACTTCTGCCTTTGAAATACTTGAACGCAGAAGCTTGCTGGTTCCTTATGGTAAAAAAAAAAAGTGTAACAGCTTAGAGGAGAACTTGGGAGGGAATGTTTGTGAGAAAGTTTCAAGAATACCAACATTTTCACACATTATTTGTGTGCGTCTGTATGTGCATATTTCTCACTATTTCTTACTATGTGCCTGTCTATTTCCAGGGGGTTTCAATAAGCACTACTGAAATACACCAACAATTCAAAATAGCTAACTCAACCTAAGCCTGCAAGGCAATACAGCCACATAAGACATAAAAGTGATGCTTCATGACTGTTCTCTTAATTCTTGTGACTGATTCAGTGCCACAAAGCTGTAGTTCATGTCAACAACAGATGGATTTTCTATCGAAACAACCTCAATAAGTCTTTCCGTCGACTACTATTGTTGTTAAATTAAGCTTGACCCTATATTTCACCTTCCGAAACCATTCTTTTACAGCTTCAAGACATTAATTTATTAAATAAATCATTGTAGGTGATTTCCGTTGTAGACACACACACACACACACACACACACACACACACACATATTCGCACACACGCTCACAGTGTGGTTGAGCCAAAGAGCCAGAAAGAGTAACAACTTCCAGTATCCTTCTAGTTCTTTAACAGTAGCTCTCATGCTCTGCAGGCCCTCCGCAGTTCAAATGTCATCAATGCATCATATTCATACCTATAAACTCACACAAAGACATTAACACACTAATAAAAGCAATACGAATGTAACATGTCTGAGTAACTGGCACAAAAACAAAGACTTCTGAATGAAAATACTCTCATTTCCTAATTTATCTGCCACACAAACAAAAATAACGTCACATAATTATTGCTATGTACTGTTTGTAACACAAAGTTAATTCTGTGAACAGTGTGTTAATGCAAAATCCCCAGGAACGTATTACTAGCAGGGTGCTGTGACACCTTTTTCAATGATGTCATCTCAAAGATGACTGGACCATTGCCAATGATTGTGCATACAAATATAACTGCTCTGAAATTAAATGCTCATATTAACATCTTTCCTCACAAAACACACCTATATACTCAAAGGATTTTCACTCATTTCCATTTAGCGCCTGTAAGCAGCTCCTCTCTGCACTTAACGACCTTTTATATGGGTGCCTGTCCCTTTAAAAGGCAGTCTAGAGAGTCCTAAGCTAGACATGAATCCAAACAGAGCTGTTGCTGCCTTTACATTGACTAAAGCCTGTTTCTCTGCTCTCTCTCTCTCCCCTATAAGCAAAAGAGCACAGCATAAAGAATGACACCGAAACATTTGCACAGAATTGCAACTATTTCTGCAAAGCATATTGGTTATTATTAGTTATAATAATAAATGGATTTCTCAAATACATGCACATATTTCCTTCTCTTCATGGAATACGAGAATAATATAGTATGTGCAATAAGCATGTATGAATCAAAACCAAGCAAACATTTAATCTAAGGGTGATGTCTTACCTTTCTTTATAGGGGTGCATTTAATAACTCACTCTCTCTCTCTGCATTACGAGTGTAACTCACTCTACCCACTGGCAAGCTGTCCTTTGTCCAGGTTTAGCTCTGCTATCAGGTCACACGCGCGATCCTCTGATTTATGTTTTCTTCCATGTCCAATGTTCCCCCCGCCTTCACTTTCCTCCACTTCCTTCGACAATTGCTCAGAGGGCTGAGGGTAAAGGAAGTCCCCTCGTCTGCGCTGTTTTACTAGCCCTACGTGTGAGAGCTACAGCGTATGTTATGCAAGGCAAACAGACTGCCAGCTCTCTCTCTCTCTCTCTTCTGCTCTTCACACATACACACACAGAGCTCTAGAGAACACAGCTCCTCCTCCCCCAGTCAGCCTCAGCAGCCTCATCAGGTATTCATTCAAAAAAACACACTCTACTTGGCAGAGCGCCCAGACTACACACACACAGATTGAGAGAGAGGGAGGGACAGGGAGAGGGAAAGAGAGGGAGGAGGAAAAATTGTGAGCGAGGAACCAAGCACACTAGAAGAAACACATAGCCTCACATAGACCACTGTACATTCGCGAGAAACACAAGCACCATGAAATTCCAAATAAAGTCTTTGTGATGGTTTCTATGCATTTTCTCACTTTCTTTCAACAACTAATTAGTTTCTCTCTGTGGAAAACAAATTTAGTGCCTCACCACCATTATGTGTGAAGAGAGTAAGCATATTTGCATGGAGCTGTATAAGCCTGCCCTGGAATAAACCCAGAATTTTTCCTTATCTATCGTGTGATTACCCTTTGGTTATTTCTTTGGAAACCAATTACTGACGATTGAGAAAACAGTTTTTTTTTTAAATTCACAACTTTTTCGACTTGACCAACAAAATATTCAAAGGTTCTCCAATATATATTTCCTCTGGTATTTCTACTGTAATTATGACAAAGCTGCTTGATTTCAAACTTTTTATTAATATAAACTTTGAGTGCTGATTTATTAATTAACCACAATTCATTGTGTGATTCCAGAAATGTCAAGAAAAATAGATATAGCTATGAAAAGAAATAAGATGTTTTTAGCAGCATTTCAGTACAAATTATCAATTATATATTATCAATAATATAAAATGTAATACATTTATTTACATGAATATGCATATTAGGCCCTTAATGTGCTCCAGCCTCCTGGTTGAGAACCACTCCATTAGAGTATTTCATTAAATGTATAAAAGTCAAAATCATTTTAGCTGGGGGGGGTACATGCAAATACAGTCACTCGCTCCATCACACACGCTTGCATACAAAAGTGTTATCTTTGCTCACAACCTTGAGAAGATCTGAAAACACCCTATGTTCAAAAAATGTGCTGTCAACAAGGAGAAATGCTGGGAACATAAAAAAAGCTATCAGCAATATATAACCTCTAATATTAGCCTGGCGTGCTTTACTCTCTCTGAGCAGATCCCAGCACTGCACTGGGTGTGTTTGCCAAGCCACAGACAGATACAAAGCCACCATATAGCATATGAAAGCAAAAAGGTTGTCTTTGGAAAACTCACTAACCATAGACTTCTCATGGCCAATCATTCACCCACACACGGACGTGTCTCAGTGTGTTGTCTTCTTGTTTTTGACATAATGAGGAATCCAATCTTTTTGTTGTCTCTAGCATAAAGGCTTAGAATCTTAAACAAACTAATAAATAATATAAAAGTTTAAAACCGATGCATGTAAAATTTAATTGCCATAGTAACATAGGTAATTTATACTACTGTAAAAGATTTTTTTAAATAAATTACTATACTTTTATTCAGCAAGGACACGTTAAATTGATCAAAAAGGAAGACAGTAAAGACATTTATAAAGTTACCAAAAAATTATAATTTTAAATAAATGCTGTTCTTTTGAATATGAATAAAAAAATTATTTAAAATAACATCACAGTTTCCACAAAACATATTGATAATAATAGTAAATGATTATTCAGCACCAAATCACCATATAAAAATAATTTCACGTGACACTGAAGACTACAGTATTTTACAAACTCCAAGATTTTTAAAAGAAATCTGTAATTAAAATGGTATATTATTTAATATTAATTTATATAGTTACACAAATAATGACTTTCATGCTAAATAGAGAGAATTCTACCCATTATTATTATCTCTGTCAGAGGCAGCGCGTGTCAGGCAGCTTTGGCAGAGACTGTTAGTCAGACTCAGAGAAAACCTGTACTGTTTTCACTCTGGATGGGTCAGTGTCTAAACCAGGGGTCACCAGACTCGGTCCTGGACGGCCGGTGTCCTGCAGAGTTCAGCTCCATCACTAATCAAACACACCTGAACCTGCCAATCAGGGTCTTACTAGGTATACCTGCAACTTCCAGGCAGGTGTGTTGTGTGTTCCAGGCAGGTTAAACTCTGCAGGACACCGGCCCTCCAGGACCAAGTTTGGTGACCCCTGGTCTAAACCCTACAAAGCCCTGCAGAGAGACTGCAGACAGTCTTTGAGCTATGAGGTGCTCTATCTTGGCTGCCAGTCTTAGTTTCTGCTTTCTTCTTTTTCTAGTTTAGCTCTCACTCTAATATAACTCAGATTAGACAAACCTAAATAATTAAAGAAAAGTTAGGTGTGTTCACAGAGATATACATTAAACTCAACTCAAAGTCACCAGTGTAAAACCATCAGGAGTTTCTCTGCAATTATCTATTTATGACAGGAATGCACTCACAATTGTCCATGATCAGGTCTACTTTCTTCTCACAGACGTCCAATCACTTTTGCAAAGCCATGGAGGAAAAATGTTATCACAAAATTTCATAATCACTGTTTTGTTGGCTATAAGTACTGACACCTGTTCACTCCTCACACTGAACTTTGCTGAAACGACTTAGCGATAGTGAGGCATGTCCTAACATGTCCAGACATGTACAAGGGGGAACACAAGACCAGAACTCATGCTGATTTATGGACTTTGCAGTGGACACAAGCATATAACATAAGATATGTAGAGAACCAACTTAACAGAATTTAGGGCTACAATATTTAGAAAATGTTAATTATGCTAAGGTTATGGCATTCACGTATAACAAGGAAAGAGATCCAGGTGTTTTCTTGTTTGGAAGCATTTGTGAGATAGATTTAAGAAATTTTAAATGATTTTATATATTTCTAGTTTGAAGCCTGTGAAGTTAATTATGAGATGAGTTTAATGTCTCATGTGCAACAGAAACAATATAAAAGTGAAGATATTTATAAAATACGAATTGCAAATGCACAATTGTCAGCAAACAGAAGGACACAGGACAGGAACTGACACAGATGAGGTGTTTATTGACATGAGTAAACGAGACAAACTGGTGGACAAAGCAGATATGGATGGATGGATGGATGGATGGATGGATGGATGGATGGATGGATGGATGGATGGATGGATGGATGGATGGATGGATGGATGGATGGATGGATGGATGGATGGATGGATGGATGGATGGATGGATGGATGGATGGATGGATGGATGGATGGATGGATGGATGGATGGATGGATGGATGGATGGATGGATGGATGGATGGATGGATGGATGGATGGATGGATGGATGGATGGATGGATGGATGGATGGATGGATGGATGGATGGATGGATGGATGGATGGATGGATGGATGGATGGATGGATGGATGGATGGATGGATGGATGGATGGATGGATGGATGGATGGATGGATGGATGGATGGATGGATGGATGGATGGATGGATGAAGCAGGTAGATAGTCAGGTATGTTGTGCAGGGTAACAACAAGACCAGACAATGGTGTGGTGCACTGTGAGGGATTATAAAGTGTGACTTGATGAGTGTAGGCAGGTGCGGTGAATCAGAATTCTGGTGATTGTGAACGAGTGGGTGGAGCTGCAGGATCTGGCGTGGCTGGTGACTCCGTGACAGTAGTATAGCAGATACAAACTTAAGTCCAACATTAGAGTTAAAATAACCCTTTAATAAACCTTTATCAGATGTTTAGTGTTGGCTAATTCACTCAGACTATCTTGAAAATGCAGCTTTTTTGTTAAAATGTTTGCAAAACAAGCATCATTTATGATACCATTGTTATGAAATATGTTGTTAAAACGCAATCTTCACAAACAGTTTTAGAGATTTCAGTCCCTCCCCATTCAAGTTGACAGGAGCTATTATTGTAGAATGCTCATATGGCCGGCGAGTGAATCGACTTCCCTTTAAAGGAACTTTTCTAACAGAAGGCATCCAGTTTGGTGTCATTTGAGTGAGCTGTACGCACTTCGAACTGGAAGGCCCCTTGATTTAGTAAGTATTATACTGTCTCTGAGCATGTGGGAAGATTATTCAAGGACCTGTGTTACCAAGGTAACAAGGACAGGGTCTACATGTGTCTCAAGGCTTCCACCTTGAGAATTTTTCTCTGAGTCATGCGTTATTTCAGTGTGTAACTATGTATGCATGTGAACAATTTTTTTTTTAAATCAGTTTTATACCTTTTAACACGATTTTCTGTGTGTAACAAGAAATTAAAGACAAAATTACTGTTTCACCTTTAAATCAAAGGACATTTGACAATAGATGAAGTTGAACTCTATAAGGTAAATGGTTAGTTGTAATAGTTAGTGGAATAAATAGTTGTCATATTTAGATGATTAACAGACAATATGTCCATTGTTTGTTTGCAAGGCCCAATTGATTGCAAAACATATAAGCTGAATCACAAAGTCTGTTTAACTGCAAAGAACTCATACAATCACAGAGCTATATTTAGTACTATCTTAAACTGGACCCCAATTACTTTCAAAATATTTTCTTTTGTGTTCCACAGAAGAAAGAATGTGATACAAGTTAGGAACAACATGAGGGTGAGTAAATGATGACAGAACGTTCATTTTTGGATGAACTATTGTTTGCAAGTACTTCTTTGACTTCTTAAACCGAACCACAATAAAAGACCACCAAATCTTTCTGAAAGTAAAATGTTTTTCCATGTCTTTCAGAGCCAGTATTTTTAAGCCAAAATAGCTCTAGCCTACACACTGCTGAGAATACAACTTGAGGAGCGAGGACAAGAATGGTTGAAGGAGCAGCTCAACCACTTTACAAGCACAGACATGAAGAACATCATCTTTGATTTCTTTAACTATTGCCAAGGGGTTGAGTAGGCAACGTTCACTGGTCAAAAGTGCCGAATGCTTAATAAAAGTAAAACGCTAGATTGCATGGTCACTATATCGGAGGCGTCCAGTAAGGAATGCAATAACATTCTCTGTATCAGACACTCAAGAGGCTTAATACTAAGCCTCAATAATGGTTTTGGCAGCCTAACAGAGAGAGAACACATTAGAAAACACACAAACAGCAATTATAAAACCAAGCTATTATAAAGCCATTACTAGATCTTCCATCTCTAATCACTGTCACTGCTTCACCACAGAAGTACTGGAAAATGGTTAACCCTACACAGAAATATGAAATGGAGAATCAGAGCAAACCATGTGAAAATGGATTTCCTCCTTGCTTTTGCTTGATGAATAGCAAGTAAAAGATAAATGCTACCATTTGTACATTTCTAGATAAGTTGTATTTCACTTTTAAAATCTGTTATGAATATGTCTAATACTGTTTCCCAGTGCAATGCATTATGAATGATGTTTTGAATCACTATAAAAAACATTATCTGAAATGAAAATTATTCCTTCTCTTATATACTGTATCTTAAGATCTAGCAAATATGATTTTGAATTAGGTTTCTTCCTAATTTATCTCTTGATGAAAACACTGAGATAAACAGGTGGTTTACTCCTGCCACTTTCCTTTTCCAGTGTTGCAGCATTATTTCCAGAGGTGCCCAAACTTTTTACAATGAAGGGTCAAACTTGATTGATGGACGTGGGCAGAAAGCAAATGTTGCATATACAGTATCCAACTATATTATAATAAATATGCTTTTTAAAACTAAATTCTCTCATATTATCTTCATTTCAGTGTAAAAATAAAATGCATTGAAATGTGATATGGCATGGCAACCAAATCATGAGATGCCAAAACAAGACGGGCCAGATGAACTTATGAGTGTGGCAAAAAACTGCTACAATGCATTCCAAATGAAGCCTTTGTACTTTATTACATTTTGTACTTTAATAGTTATACTGACTTATTAGTAAAATGCAATGATTTTTTATTATAAAATAAAAAATCCATAGTGAAATCAACTCTAAAGATGCCACTCTTTCCAAATACGAAAATCTTGAATTCTCTATTCTACAGTTTTTCCCTTGAAATAAATTTATTTCAGTACAAGTTCCTGATTTTGTGAATTTGTCATGCTTGATTTGTTTAGTAAACACTGATACTGTTGCCAGGCAGACACTTTCCCTTTTGTGTAGCTTGACTGAGTTCACTATAGCTGAATGACTGGGGATCAGATTCAAGAATGCCTCATGTCAACAAATGTTCATTCAAAGTAATGGGGCCATAAATGAGTAATACTGTAAGGTCAAGGAAAATATCTAGTGGTCACTCTTTCCAAACCTACAGTACAAGCACAACTTTCCAGTGGAATGGCCTATTTGAATAAATACATTTGATCATGTTGTTTAGCTAAGCACTGTAGCCCTAAAATCTTTTAACCTATCTTTCACTATACCGTAGCTCCTTTGATTTACCAGCAGCTGCCACTGAATAATGAAAATGAGATGAGGGTTCAACATATAGAAATGAAAAATAGTTTTGCTGCATCTCCCACAGTGGTGTCGCCAAATCTGTCCCCTTTGAGATGAACCCCCATCCATTCTCATCTCAGCACCTTCCGTTATAATGTGAAGTCTCCATTCTGCTGCAGCTGGATCTCTAATTAAAGCATCTGCCAGAGAGCCATGAGTCACATAGACATAGTTAGAGGCCTGTAAGTGTGTAAACTTGGGAGTTGTTAAACACCTTACAGACAGACACTGGGACATTGATAAGGTTGGTAAGCACTTTTGAACTGTGAAAACAGTCTGCTCTAAATTCAGAGGATGTCTGGCCTCAAATTGAGGAATATATATATATATATTTTACAGTCTATTTTTCTGTATATTTCAGTATATTTCTATAGTACGTAAACTGCAGTAAGACTGCAATTTATATATATATATATATATATATATATATATATATATATATATATATATATATATATATATATATACATCCTTCTACAAAAGGGATTAAGTTTTTTAAACAAATTATAGATAATGAGCCAGCACTACCAAAATAGCAGCATGAGGATGACTGTTCCCCACACAGAGCTGTGGCTCATACTGACGTTATATAGTTTATATAGTTCATATAGTCATACAGACATTCTCAGTCTGACTTGTGAGATAAACAAAGTCAGGTTGAGTGTGGCTGGGCACTACTCACTGATAACTGCAATGCAACATCAGTGGTACCATTCTGATAGTGACAGGGTTTTACAAGGCAGCAGGTTCAAAGTGATAGACAGAAAGACAGAAAATGAAAAATATCTGAGTGAGCGATGAGGTTCTGTGTTGGAGAAAGCCAACTGTAGGGCCTACAGTAACACAATCAACATTTCATTATGCACTCGCAAAGAAATCATAAGCCCAGACAAAGCTTTTCAGTGGAAAAGATGAAAGAAAGGCCAGTTTAAACAATATGATATACAACAGATTATCTACCTATTATTTATTTTCCAACACTGCTGTAATTAACCAATGGTTTTCACGGGTAGGACACCAAACTAAAGTGTTTTCAGGTCCATATCGAATTTACTCTCAAACTACCACGAAAACGCTATTTTATTACGCAAATCCATTAAAAGGGATAGTTCACCCAAAATGAAAAATCCTGTCATCATTTACTCACACTCATGTCATTTCAAACCTGCATTTTCTGTGGAACACACACACACACACACACACACAAATTCTGAAGACTGTCGGTAACCAAACAGTTGTGGTTACCATTGATATACATACATACACATACATACATACAATAGAGACATATCTTATTTTAAGTTAAACAGAAAAACGAAGTTTATACATGTTTGGAAAAACGTGGAGGTGTATAAATGATGACAGAATTTTCATTTATGGGTAGAACTACCTCTTTAAGTGGAATTCTAGAAGATATAGGTCCTGATATAATAGAATGTTGCGATCTAACAACAATAACTATACGTTATAGAAGCTGTGCAGTGATATAGTGTACACTTCATAGCTACTAACCAGAAGCCATGACTGGAACTATCCGTTTCATAAACATTTTGTCTTTAAATATACACACCATGAGCGATTCCTACTTCAGTTTGACACGTTGTTTCCACAGGCAGTCTGCATCGCAAGTCAGCGCTCTTACTCCATCTACTGGTGTCTCATGTCAACTGATGAGTACAACTGCTAGGGGTGCCAGATGTAACAAAAACTTCCCTCCATGTAAGACTGCCCTGTTCGATCTTTGTACACATTACCTGTCTTCATTTTAAGGATTGAGACCAATACAATGCAAATGGTTACTGCCCTGCTTCAATTAATGTCATTTAATAGCAAACTGAAAAATGTTAGCAGTCTTCCGATTTAAAAATAACAATAATATAGAGATACACCATATGCCAGTACCATATTGGTGGTTTAAATTTTTTTTTAATGTTTAGTAAGGCATAACCTTTTTTGTAATTTATCAGTTATCTTTAAATGTATCTGCATCACTCAGAAGTTTATTTTTACTCAGTCCTATAAAAAATGAAAAAAATATTTTTTGTGTTGAAAGTGTTTCAAGTGCTTTTCACATTTTGTCCACATTCTGACTGTTACAACTATTTGGAAATGAACCTAATGCAACCCACTTTGCATCTACATATGTAAGCACAATTTCAGAAAATACAACTATTTTTCATGTGCTGTATAATCCCTGTATAAACACTAGGGCTGGGGTTTGACACAAATTTCACGATTCGATTCGATTCGATTCTCATTCACAAGCTTGCGATTCGATTCGATTCCCAATTCGATTCGATATCGATTATTTTGGATATATATCAGGTACACATGCCAAATTTTCTCTTTTTTTTTTTTTATGTTTAGTAAGGCATAACCTTTTTTGTAATTTATCAGTTATCTTTACATGTATCTGCATCACTCAGAAGTTTATTTTTACTCAGTCCTATAAAAAATGAAAAAAATATTTTTGTGTGTTGAAAGTGTTTCAAGTGCTTTTCACATTTTGTCCACATTCTGACTGTTACAACTATTTGGAAATGAACCTAATGCAACCCACTTTGCATCTACATATGTAAGCACAATTTCAGAAAATACAACTATTTTTCATGTGCTGTATAATCCCTGTATAAACACTAGGGCTGGGGTTTGACACAAATTTCACGATTCGATTCGATTCTCATTCACAAGCTTGCGATTCGATTCGATTCCCAATTCGATTCGATATCGATTATTTTGGATATATATCAGGTACACATGCCAAATTTTCTCAAGGGAAAAAAATTATATTAACTAATGCTGTAAAAGTCAGTTGGTACTACATTTCTATAATATTGAAGGTTAAAACTAACGGATTTTTTAGGCTATATAACCGCTTCAATTACACTTAATGAAGTTTTTATTTAAAAAAAGGTTACAATTACATAACATTTCTACTTCTATTCGTTTTTTTAACATTTAAATGGTGGCTGTCATAAAAAATATGACTGAAACATTGAAGAAAAGTAAAAAATTATAATAAAATGATATGGCGCATATATTTAGCAAAACGCCACCGAATATGTTTTTTTCTGAGGTGACATTACATGACATTTTTACAAACAATATTGACGTCTTTGCGCGGCCGAAACACTTATTGAGCGATTACATGAGACAGGATACGGATTGTAAAGTTGTACTCTTTCTTTTAACTTACCTTTGGATGTTTATTTTGCGCTGAAGCTGGTATTAATGTGGAGGAGATGATCAGTTCACGTGCGCCTCGCGCTGCTGCGTCTGCTGATTCTGAACTGAGGCGCTACAGCGATCTGTCACTCCACATTAAACAGCGCCAAAACGGCATTTATTGTTTGAATACTGCAATACAATCCGTGTATCATTCGATCATTCGTTTTTTTTATTTAATATTGAAAGTAGAAAAATTTGAAAATGGCTCCTTTTTCGTTTTTTGGAAAAAAATGAGAATTCAGCTTAAATTTTCCTTTTTCGTTCATGAGTGGAAAAATGAATAAACAGCTTGAATATTCGATTTCTACACGTGGGCGGGAATTAAACGCCCCTTTCTGCTGATTGGTCAACCATGCTGTCATCAGTTCTTCTGCAGTATCACGCAGCAGAATAATAGTCCTCCACTGCTGCAGTTGTATGGATTCTTAAGCATTTATTGCAACTCCATTTAATATTTTTTCATCAAACAAACAGGCTTATGAATAACTCAACAATTCATACTGGGGCAGAGTCTAGACAGGGCTTTCTTCTGTGTAGATATAAATTCTATTCTTTGCATCAGCTGGGCATGGCATGCCACAAACATAAACCACAGGGAATACTTGTCTTTTAAAAGGCTTCACTTAGATTATTTTTGTTAAATGCATCATATAAGTCACTTTGGAATAAATCACAGTAGGCCTATGTATCATGATAAAAAAAAAGTGACTTTACAGTCTGGAAATACTTTAGGCTATAGCAAATTATTTTGCGGCCCCCCTATCACTTTAAGAACCGCTGGTCTACACTGAAGAAAGACCTGTCTAGACTCTGCCCAGGTACGAGTTGTGTCCAGCTATTCATTAGTCTGTTTAATGAGAAAAATATGAAATTGATAAAATGGGTTATTAATCGTACAACTGCAGCAGTGGAGGACTATTATTCTGCTGCGTGATACTGCGGAAGAACTGAAGGCAGCACGGTTTGATCTTCGGCTGACCAATCAGCAGAAAGGGGCGTTTAATTCCCGCCCACGTGTAGAAATCGAATATTCAAGCTGTTTATTAATTTCTCCACCCATGAACGAAAAACGAAAATTTAAGCTGAATTCTCGTTTTTCGTTTTTTGGAAAAAAAACAAAAAAAAAACGAAAAAGGAGCCGTTTTCTCATTTTTCTACTTTCAATATGAAATCAAAAAACGAATTATCGAATGATACACGAATTCAATACAACGGACAGAATTTGAAATCTGAGACTTGGTTTCATATTAAAAGTACCAAAGCACAACGATATATTGGATGGGAAGTGCCCTTCAACATTCCGTCCATTAACTGAAAACAGGCTAGACTAATCGATTCTTGGGATTTAAGAATCGATATCGTTTTGCAAAAATGAGAATCGATTAAAATCGAGATATTGTTATTTTTTACCCAGCCCTAATAAACACATATATTCAAAGGATTGTTATTGGTGTAAATAGTCACTCTATAAACAGAGACAACACAGAATTATTTGTCTGGGACAAAATTGAATTATTTTGATTTGGCCATATCTAAACAATCCAAAAGGAAAAACAAACTGATAAAGAATGAGGCAACGTAAAGTTGAACTGCTCAACTCAGAAGCTTATAATAGTGCAGAACTTGGAGTTGAAAAAGACATGCAGTGAAAATTAGTATGCAAAACAGCTAAAAAAAAAATTCCTGGCATTTTCAAGATTTTAATAGGCCATAAAGTATAGCTAATTAGGTACAAAACATTCATCTGAAATACAAATCCAGTCAGTAGATTAGGATATATAACCAAACTATATTGTCTTTGGAGAAAGAATGTTCTTAGTAAATATTCTGATCAATAATCCACATTCATTAACAGAGAGAGATAGAGATTAAATGCATGTACCAGAGGAAGTTCAAGTATTGTGAGGCAGCGCATTTATAAATTATCTTATTTTGGCACAAGAAAAATATTCAAAGATGTCAACGCAGATGATTAAAAAATACTTCTGAGAAAGCAGTTCATGCTTATAAGACTAAGTGTCCAAAGAAGATGGGTGAGAATTACTGGAAATTCAGTGTTCAGATCTTAAAGTGACAGTTCTTCGAGAGGCCAATAGCTTTAGTTCAGTTCAGTATGTGTCACTGCAGCTGGTTCTCTCTCATTTGTCTATGAGCTTGTTTTTGCATTACAATGTCGGGTTGGTATTGACTTCAATGACAAAGTCATCTAAGCCGGTTTCTCTTGACCACAATGGTGCCAGCCACAATGTCATACACAGTCCTGTTGTGCTGAAAGAAAAGAAGCGTGATGAACGCCGGAAAGAAGAAAGCTATGGAGAAGTTCTTGTTTAACGCTCTCACCGTTGACCTACAAGAAAATACAAGTTTAAAAATTACATTTTGGAAAAAGGTCAAATATTTAATAAAAAAAGACAGAGAGTGATGTTAACACTGACGCAGAAAGCGTGACGTTAGTCGCTGGTACCACAAGAACGCGGTTTGGCTGAACCAGGACAGAGTTGTCACATGTGACCACTCGTAAGCCAATGAGGAACTTCCCTGGTGTCGCTCCACCAGCTCCCCAAATGCATATGATCTGAAATCAATCAAAAACAGTTATACAGGTCTTCATGAATTATTTCCACAGATTAAATCATTTGTTTGAACTAACCTCATAAAAGCAAACTAATATCCTGTACACTAGAGCCACAAGCATCATTTTCTGCAATTCCTCCATTGATGTGTCCTCATCAATCTCCTCTACAATGAAGTGCATGGCAAACTTTGAGATGTCCCTAAAATTGACAAAGTGATAAATGAATGATTTTGTTTAACGAAATACAGCATGAGCAATATGTTAGGAAATATAAACAACAACATTTCAGACTTACTTCATTCCACTCAAGTGGACAATACTGAGGATGATTGTAGCTTTAATGAAAAAAAGAATAAAGAAATCCACCATTTCTGCCAAGAACCGTTGGAAAGGAGAGGGAATATAATATTCCCTACCTAGACAAAACACATTATAGACATGAACTGTTTTTGTAAAGTGGATCATTCTTGTTATGAAATATATTTTCATGTCCCATCATATGTCTTAATATATAGGATAAAATAATAATCTCAAAATTTTCAAAGATGGGAATAATATTTGTTTCACAATTAAGTGATCATTCTAAAATAAAACTGGCGATTATAAAGAATGGTGTTTCTTCAACTGCCCTTTCTCCAATTACAAAGTCTCAAACAACACATGTTTTCATGTGAATGTTGTAATTCATAATCATTTCATAGTTTTTTTTTCCTGTTTCTGCAATTTCACTTTCTACCTGGTTTGTCTTTTATAATAAACATTTAACTAACAAAAATTGCGGGGTGGTTTGGTGGTATTAGTTGGTTTATATCACTCTAAAATACTCCATCCTGTTAGATAAAACGTTCTATTCTGTTAGACATCGTGTTAATTAATTGACAATATTCACATAATAATAAAGCCATAATAAATGAAGTTTAAGTGCCTGAGTTTGACAAAAGCATATTTCTGGAAGTTAGGTGTACCACGTTACAGAAATACTTACTTTATAACGAGAATGACCCAAGAGTTAACATGATACTGGTCATATGAATAAAACGAAATGATACTGTACTAACTGATATGCATAAACTAAACGCAAAGTCCAAGAAGGCTCGCTCACAGAGTCACCTGACATTTGAGGATGTCAGATTCATCACTAGGGTAATCAGCAACACAATACAACAGCTAGCCTGACAGTATTAACAACAAAAATATAAGACGTTATTCACTGGATATTATTACCTGGCTGCTGCGCATTTCCATTAGGCTGCAGTTGCTGCTGTAGTTGTTGTGGCAGCTGCGCAGGTGCTGTGGCGGGAGCTCGAGAACTCTGTCCGCTCGCGTTCGCAGCTGCAGCAGGAAAACCAAACGGGCTGCTAAACCAATTGCGAAGGTCTCCGTTAGACATATCTGCACCCCATGTCGTCGCCCCGGGCGTTTCATTTGTTCCTTGTGTTGGGAAACACGGTGGGAAGGAAAACGCAGACATGGCTATCCAGCTCTGCCAGTTCATATAGCTGTAGTAGTACTGCCACATCCACTCCTGTAATTTTTCGCAGTACTCCGTGGTAGTAACCGCGGTGGCTGTGTCTTGCTTACCCTGGGAACAGGGCTTGTGAATCTGTGTTTTCATGTTTTCAGCGTCCCCGGTTCTACTGTTTTTTGCCAACGATTTGTCCTTATCACGAGCGTTTTCATTTAACTCCGCCATGACACTTTTGCTTTGTGACGAAGTCGGTTTATCGATTTAATCAACTTCCGGCAATATTTCGGCACGCATAATAAAAGTAACAGAAGATATTAGCATAACAAAAGCGTAACTCTTCTTACCTTTTCAGTTGCCTGGAGGTGTGTTTAGCTAAGGAATGGTAGATTTTATCATCATCATCATTAGTAGTACTAGTAGTATTTGTATTATTATTATTATTATTGTTCTCAAATTATTCAAAATCATAGAAAATGGATGACAGTAGACACTTTAATGGATTTAACTTAAAGTACAGTGACATGAGAGTGGACATTTAATACGTTACAGACACTATGGAGTCATGTTTTAAACAGCGTTAGTAAAATGTGTCTCAAAAACCCAGAGCTTACTGCATATTCATATCCCATGTAACTTTTATAACATTGTTCTTTACACTTTAAAAAAAATAACTGATATCTATTTACTAGCTATTTCACTTAATGTAATATATATTTTACTATTAAACTGCACCGAGCATTTTTTTTTTTTTTGAAATTGCAAATATAAAGATCATTTGAGTATGTTTTATAAATATGCTCTACTTAAAATTCAATGTGTTACTTGCTGTTTCTTTGTAATTATTTGTGAAATTTACTAGCGATTTGAAAATTGTTGCACCACCTCCCCCCCAATGTTTTAGCTATTTTACTGATAGCTGTTTTGCCTGATTTACATACAGGCTTATGTACCATTAAGCAAAATTCAGTTTAACTTCTATTATGTTGCAGACAAAACGAAGCTATGTTTGAAAAAATGGAGTAAAAATGTGTCTCAAAACCTACAGTCTACATGAGACAGGTGTTGAGTGGGGCAGCCATCATGATGCTCATAACCACATCAACGACAAATTCCAATTAATTGAAGCAATAATAAGAAAATTGTGATAATATCAAGGTACAAGTTCAGAGCAGCAAAGATGTACTCTTCTGGACTGATGCTGTATTTGTGCTTTCCGCCCAGTATGAGCTGCGTGTCCATCACCAGGTACTAAGAATGGAAAATGAAAGTGAGAGACAGTAAGATGAGAACAGTAAATAGGAACTATTAAGCACAATAAAAGATTGTTGGCAGACCATTATGTTAATACTACGCCAGCCTAATAGTACAAGTACTACAGTGTATCAAGAAGCCCTCCTAGATAAGGATTATGCATATAAATTTCGACAAAGCTACACTGGATAAAGCATGACTATAAGAAAGATGTGTTCTTACCACAGAGAAGATCAAAGTTCCCAGTGATGCGTAAAGGATGTACAGATACTTTGGAACATAAAAGTTAAGATGAATTAATATAAATAAATTAGCATTTTTAATAGGAGGAAGAAATATTAGTTGATGATTTACCTGTGATCTCAGAATTGCACAGAGTAATGCAAATGAAAACAGCGTCCAGCATAATACCCATATGCTCCCTGACAGAGCTGTGAAGTCCCACTAAAAACAAGCATGGGCATGTTTACTACTTTATAACTAACATTTTGTTAATACAATACATACAGCCAATTTTGTAACTTACTTTAGACTGCAGTGAAAACAAACTCATTGCAAGAGACACCAAAGCAGTTGCACCCACTGCCCAGAGCACTGCCTCTGCTGAATAGTACCTGAATAATAATAACAATTCCTTACTATAACACTGGCTGTGTAACTAAAGTTTTTGAATAATCGAAGAGCAAGTTTTTGAGTAATTGAAATGCATTTACTGCATTTTAATGATGTTTTTACTCACACTACCACTGATCCAAGGAGAAAACCTTCTGTGATTGTCTGTGTGGGAAAACAGCAGTTAACATTTACAAAAGTTTCACATTTAATGCTCACCACAATTAAATACAGCTGCTCTGTATTTTACTTACAAACAGCGCTAAGAAGATGAAGTTTAAGGGAACTTTGCGACGTATGTCACCACAACAGATGAGCACAATGATTAGAACAAATGTTGCACACCTTGTGAATTTTGAACAAACACAAGAATTCAGTGTAAAATGTATGGACGCAATACATGCATATTATTTAAGACATGCAGAACAAAGGTGAAGTGCTCACATCATAGTGTAGGTAAACCAGTATGTGTCTCTCACCCAATCCTTGAGTGTCTCCCTATAGGAAAAGGGCATAAATGTCAGCATTAATAATATACTGTACACACATTACTGTTCAAAAGTTTGAGGTTGTAATATTTTTTTATGTTTCCCAAAGAAGTCTCTTATGCTTGATGTTTTTATGTGATAAAAAATACAGTAAAGACAGTAATATTGTGAAATATTATTACAATCTAAAAATAATTATTTTTTATTTACATATATTTTAAAATGTAATTTATTCCTGAAGGCAAAGCTGTATTTTCAGTAGCCATTGCTCCAGTCTTCAGTGTCACGTGATTCTTCAGAAATCATGCTAATATGCTGATTTGGTGATCTACAGTATAAAGATTCCTTACTATTATCAGTGTTAAAAAATTGCTGTTCTGCCTTTGTGTGTATGTGTGTACATTTATTTCACAATTCTCTGATGCATAAAAAAGTTCAAAGAACAGCAAATCTTTTGTGACATTATAGATTTCACTTTTGGTCAGTTTAATTAATCCATGCTGATTTAAAAAAAAAAAAAACCTTACTGACCCCAAACGGTACTACAGTGTGTTTGTGTGTGTGTGTGTGTGTGTATATATATATATATATATAAACTGACGTAAAATAAAGACGAGTATACAAGCTCAAGCCTATGAAGTAACACTTAAGTACACTTCATTATCTGTCATTTGTGTTTCGAAATGAATTGAAATAGGTGTGGCAACATAAACACCAGTCTACTCACCAGTAAAGAAAAGCACAGATGATTCCAACAGTTGTTAATAGTTGAACCATAAGTGTCAGATACACTTTTCTTATGAAACCTACATGAAGCACATTTGAATACAAGAAACAAGTTTTTAGCATTGACCATTCCCATGTGCATGACATTGCTGATAGCTGACAGCTATTTAAAAGTACATAAGCTCTTGTATTATTAAAATTCGACTGTATGCCTAATATATACATATAAACATATTTCATTTGTGAAAATGTTTTAGTGATATTTCATGTATTTTTGCTGTGTAGTAAACACACACACACACACGTCAAGAAACATGACTATATTAGGTTTTAACACAGAAAATGAAAAAAAAACAAGAACTTTACATAGACATTCTTTCTGACTGTAATAGCACAGCCAAATGATTAAAGTCATTTCAAGAGAGCACAGCTGACCTCTTCTTATGGTAGCATCTGAAAAGCAGTTCTCATCTTCAAATCCAGGGGTGTATTCAGGGGGAGCGCTGTCTGGAATCCCCATATTGACATGTTCAACAACGGGGGGCATCGTGCCAGCGGTGGGCTGCCCAATGTTGCCCTGCGTTGCATTAGGATATTGCGGAGGGTAATAGGGGTTGTATGGAGGGGGAGGCTGCTCTCTGTTCATATTGTATCTCTCAACAAACCTAAGTATAGGTATAGACACAATTTAGGAAATCAAGAGTAAATAGTACAAACTCTTAAAATGTTTTACGATAGACACAATCAACACAGACAAATACTTTTTGTATGACAGCACATTTATCTTGAATAGCATAGTAATGACACATGTTTAAGATCTAAAATTCATTTATGATGTCAAATTCTCTTTATGTTAAATTGTTACAATTTTTATCTAATACACAAATGTTACATAACAATATTGTTAAATTTTGCTCACATTAGAACCACCACTTACCGTTGGCACTCCTCTGCTTCCTGTTATGAGTTGTGTAGAGCAAAGTCTGTTCTCGATGAGTTTGTCTGCAGAGGGACAGGGCTTTGCGTCGCTTATCAAATCAATACACATTCATGAGAGCCAAGTTCATGTGGGATTTTTTTTTTTTTTTTTTTTTACATTTCACAATGAAATTAAAACTGACATAATATAAGTACCTCTAATGAGCGACTATGCGCCTCTAAAATAAAAAGTTAATGCTTTATTTCATTAGAGGACAATGATGGTTTTGCCTACCATCAGTTTCATAAAAGCGCCAAGCTCCAAAAATGACAAAAGACATCATAAAAACATCACAAAAGTTGTTTTAAATCTGGGCCTATTCCTCACTCAAAGCTGTTGCATGTATTCGGATGACTTGGATATATATATATACCTTTGATATTAATAATTATAAAAATATTAAAGCATTAATATATTTAATTTATTTTCATATTGTATTACATTTCTATGGGAAACTTGACTAACTACTTGAATTTGCATTCTGTCAGAAAGTTACATTGCATATCCTGTAGATGGCGTTAAATATATTGACAACTAAATGTGCAGGTGTGCTACCTTAGTCATGAATAAAACATGTACCCATAAGTTAATTAAAATGAACTACAAGAAGAAGAAGAAAAAAAACAAATCAAGAAAATGACTATTAATAATTCATTAGCTGCTTATTTGTATGTAAATATCCAAACACTGGCGGATCTTTGGTCCTGATTAATGAATAATTCATAAGCTTCTGCAGCAGTGTTCATGCCCACTGCTGCACGCGCAGCTTTGAAAAGGACAGTCAAGCTTCTTAAAATTTTCCAAAGAAATAATTGTGTCATCTGTTACTCTTTTCCTGGCTTTTGAGTGTATTTTAATATTTTAACAGTTTTAATCGGTTCAGCATTTGACTTGTATGGCGAGGTGCCACAAACTTAGGTCTCCATAGCGACTCTTCTTCGAGTTGTAATCTGTCTCAATTTAAAAGTCGACCTGGTTGTTTTGATGCACAACCATAGCAAGGCTACAGGCAAAACGTGAGGAGAGGGAGGGCGAGAGAGAGAGGGGACAGAGGCGAGGATGGGAGGAGAGACGACAGAACGAGAGAGAACCGTTCAGCCACTGGCCTTCACCAGAGTGATTCATATTCAATGACCTGTGATCCAAACTCACGCAGGGGACGTCAAAACAACATTGGTTTAATCATCTCAAAGAAGGAAGCGCAGGGCGAAGT